TTTTTTTTTTGGTTTTTTTTTCTTTTTTTTTTTTTTTTTTTTTTTTTTTTTTTTTTTTTTTTTTTTATTTTTTTTTTAATTTTTTTATTTTTTTTTTTTGTTTAAAAAATTTTTGGGGTTTTTTTGGGTTTTTTTTTTTTTTTGGGTTTTTTTTAAAAATTTTTAAAAAAAAAAAAAAAAAAAAAAAACAAAAAAAAAAAAGAAAAAATAAAAAAAATTTAAAAAAAAAAAAAAAAAAAAAAAAAAAAAAAAAAAAAAAAAAAAAAAAAAAAAAAAAAAAAAAAAAAAAAAAAAAAAAAAAAAAAAAAAAAAAAAAAAACCTTAACCCATCCCACAAACCCAACCCCCCCAACCACCACCAACCCACCACAAACCCACCCCACTTAAACCCACACACAACCCAACCACCCTTTTTTTCCCACACCCCAAATTTTCCCCCACCCCCCACACAAAACCCACCCCACACCATCCACACCCCTCACACACAACCCACCCCCAAAATTTTCCATCACATTAATTTTCAAAAACCAAACCCCCACACCAACCCAAACACCCTTTTTTCCCCAAACTTTCCCCCACCCCCCCCCAACCCCACCCCCACCACCAACCCCACCCCTTAACTTTCCCCCCCCCAACCCACCCCCCCCACACACAACCCCCCCCCAAAAACCCCCAACCAACCCCACACCCCTTTTCCACACCCCCCCCCAACCCACACCCCAATTTCCCATAACCCATACTTCCCACACATTAAATTCCCAACACAACTTCCCACCATTTAAACTTCCACCCACACCACTTTTCCACACACATACTTTCCCAAATACCCACTACAACCCCACCCCTCCACACCCAATAACCTCCCCATCACCCCTCACTTCCAACACAACTAAATCCCTACACCAAACTTCATCACACCCAAACCCCACCCCCCAAATTCCAACCACCCAACCATCCAATATTTTACACACAACTTCCACACACACTCAAAACCTTTACCATAACCTCCCTCAATAAATTTCTCACACCTCAACTTTCCATACACACTCAACCCCAAAATAACTTCCATCACACACTCAACTTTCATACACACTCAACCTTCCATCACACAATCCATCACACATCATTATACTACTCAACTTCCATCACACACTCAACTCCCATCACACACTCAACTTCCATCACACCCCAAACCTCCATCAACACTCAACTTCCACACACACTCAACTTCCATCAAAACACTCAACCTTCCATCAGACACTCAACTTTCCATCACCACTCAACCTGACATCACAACTCAACCTTCCATCACACACTAAATTTTTCCCAAACACACAACTTCCATACACACTCTATCATCACACTAACCCACATCACTCACTCAACTTCCATCAAACATCAACCTCCCATCACACACTCAACTCCTCACACATTTTAAAACCCTTTCCAAACAACACCAATCTCATCACACACTCAAATTTTTCCAAATCACACACTCAACATCCATCACACACTCAACCTTCCATCAAACACTCAACTTCCTCACACACTCAATCTTCCATACACACCAACTCCTTTACACACTAACCCTTTCATAAATTAATCCAATCCCCAACTCAACTTCCCATCACACACTAACTCCCATCACACACTAACTCCATCACACACTCAACTCCCATCACACATACTCCATCACACACTAAACCCATCACACACTCAACTCCATCACAAAAATTTACTCCATCACACACTAACTTCCATCACACACTAACATCCCATCACAAAACTTAACCTTCCATACACACTTAACTTCATCACAACTAACTTTCCCAAAAATCACACCCTCAACTACATCACACATTTAACTTTCCATCACACATAACTTCCACACACACTCAACTTCCATCACACACTTAACTCCATCACACACTCAACCTCCATCACACACTCCCCATCCCATCACACATCAATATAACCTAAATTCCCTCAAAACACTCAACTTCCCATCACAACATAACTTCCATCACACACAACTTTCCATCACACACTAACTTCAATCACACAACTAAAATTTCCATACACATTAACAACCCACACATAACTTTCCATCACAAAACTCAATTCCATCAACACTTAACTTTCCATCACAAATAATTTTATCCACACCACTTCCATACAACTTAACTTCATCACACACTAATTCCTTTACCACTTAACTTCATCACAACTTAATTAAACACACAATTCCATCACAAACTTAACTTCACACAATTTCAAAACACTAAATTAAAACCACTATTCCCAAAACACTCAATTTCCATCACACACTTAACTTTCATCAACACCAAACTTATCACACATTTAACTTTCATAACTAAATTTCCACACACACCAATTCCATACAAAATTAATTCCATCACACATTAACCCATCACAACTAACTTCCATCCAATTTAAATTCCCACACACTTACTTCCACACACCTCAAACTTTCCACACACTAACTTCCAAAATTTAATTTCCACACCCTAAAACTTATCACCATTAAATTTAAAACAATTTCAACACATTTAACTTCATCACACACTTAACTTTCCTCACACACTATTTAATCATCACTAATTCCATCACACACTAACTTTCCATCACACACTTAACTTCCATCACACCTTACTTCCATCACACACTCAACTTTCCATCACACACTTAACTTTTATCTACACAACAAAATTTCCATCAATTTAAACTTAACACATTAATTTCATCACACACTTAACTTCCATCACACATCAAACTTTCACACACACTTAACTTTCCATCACACACTTAACTTTCCATCACACACTTAACTTTCCATCACACACTCAACTTTCCATCACACACTTAACTTTCCATCACAACTCAACTTCCATACCACTTAAATTAATCAATTAACTTCAAACACATTAAAT